GATGTGGTGCGCTCGCTGGCCTCGGGTGTATGTTTTGGTGTGCACAGGATGTGCGTCAGAGGGACGACAGCGGAGCAGTATGGCCTGGGCAGTATGGAGGAATAAAATGAATAAACATTCATGATTATATTTATTTTTGTTGGTCCGTGTACTTTTGCGTTCAATACATTTTCTATTTTTGAAATGAAATGGAAAATCGAAAAAAGGCTATTTTGCATTTTCAGGCACACAGCAATATACAAAAATGACATATATATATACAATAACCGGATTTGGGAACTATAAAATGCAATAATTAACCTTTTTTTGTTTTGTATTTAATATATTTTGGCGTCATATTTCGATTACCCGGAAGTGAAACAAGTTAGTTTACTTGTACGGGATTAGTATTACCTGTGGATCCGGTCGGCACTAGATCATATACGGAATCGGGACAAAACCGGAAGTAACAATCCTACTTTCGAATTAGTTTTAGACTAATAAGTCCTTAAATGGTGACTGGTTAAGTTTTAGGCGTCTGAGTAAGATGGTTAAGTTTAGGGTTAAGGGTGGGTTGGGGTTATTTTATGGGAATGGCTGGTTAAGTTTAGGCCTAAATAGGTAAATTGTTATATTTACTTCCGCTTCCGTCCCAATTCCGTATATGATCTAGTGCTGACCCTGTGGACCCCTGATAATTTGTGATAATCATGGAGGACGTCTGAGATTTTGCAGGGCATTCACACGGAATAAGCAATATCTGTAAAATACTATATTTTCACTGACATCTCTCATAACGGCCGCACATGCGCAGGTCTCTCCGCTTCACGCAGTCCAGAGAGTCGCGTCTGACCCATAGATAGCCACAGAGACCATGAAGACAAACATTTTACTGCTCTACAGTTCTCTGGCCCATACTGTCTGTAATGTTTAATAATAGCTTGTCTGGACTACTCATGAACGCACCACTTACTCTGCTAAGATACGTGCGAGCCGACAAATAGTAACGGCTGCAGCAACACGTCTGTACTGTATTAGTGCAAAGTAAACGTACAAACACAACCCATCGGTCTGATCATGTAGTGTCAGTGAACACATTACACTGTCCTCTACACTTCTCCATAGACCTCAGCCTCACAGAGACAGAAAATCCAATATTCCAGCTGTGATTCTATAGAAAACGGCAATTTCTCCATTTTTCAATATATGCTTCAAAAAGCCCCAATTTTCATTTTTACTTGGGATGTCAGAAACAAAAACAGAATGAACGCAAAGTATGCGGACCTACACAGACCCATGTCCTGAACATTAAGTCCAATCCAAATCCAATACCTTCTTATGGCTCTGTGTGGGCCGGTTCTAATGCTAATCAAATGATTTGTTTTTTTCATTTGTGTGTATTTGTATGATGATAATAAATTTGGACTTTTGCATCAGAATGTTCCCAATTTATAAACTATTTTAATTGTTAACTATTAACAACTCATTGACTGCCAGCCCATTTCAGAACAGGTACTTCCATATTGCCAGCCGTTTCTGATGGTTTTTTACTGATTTTTTAAGACCCACAGAATATGGGTGTACTGACTATCTGAAATCCGATAGGATAGGCAATGCTGCCACCTGCTGGCTAGATAAAATATGGTCTCAAGCGAATCCCCATACATATTAGATATACTAGACATCTGGGAACATGAAAATAGCGGGAAAGGCAATTGACATATTAATGCGTAACAACGTTACTATTTACTTTGACGTATTTGTGCGTCAATGGCACACATTGAGTTAATTAGGGACTATTTCATACACGCATATAATCCATCTCCCTAATCATGGTATGTTAGTTCAGTTTCTCAGCTCTTGCTTTGTGGTTTTCACAAGAAAGTAGATGAGAGAGAGCTCCAGATAGCGATGTCTAGAAGCCACTGGAATCTACACATAGATTATAAGGAACACAATAACTTTGCTAATAAGAGCCATGAGAGATTCTGCTCTGACAAGTTTATTTTCCATGGAATTTTTCTGTGAAGAATCCAGAAAGGGCTATTTGATGTTGCCTTCTTAATTAATGTTTACGTCTAGGCACTTCTGCAATCGTCACACATTATCGGTATCAAACTGACCCGCCCCCATCAGAGAAGGGAAAAGTTACTTGGCCCAGAGGGAAAAAGTTTGGGGACCCCTGCTTTAGACGCTCGCATGCTGGATTCTGTCACTCGGTCTTGGCAACCGCGTGTTCCCCGAGCGAACAGCCATGTGAGGTGAGAGCATAGACTTTATTTATTCATTTCTGTGAGAGTCTTCCTTTGAACACTTGATCACACATGACGTCATCCATGTGTCTCTTTGCCTCAGCTCTTCCAATGAATGAAACAGCGTCTCAAAGCGTCAGAGCGAGAACAGTCTGTTATTCTTCAAACCCCACTCAGATATTTTCGACAGGTACAGCCCTAAGTGTGAGAGACAGATGTGTTTTGTTCCTGTTTTATTCGTCATTGGAGTTCGGGTTCTTACTTCCTGTTTTGGATTGAGCGCCTCACACTGAATGAGAGAGACTATGGCCCCGTCCCAATACTCGCACTTCCACCCTCGCGCCCCTCATTTGCGCGTTCCCGATAAAGGGTGCGAGTGCGTAGGGTGTCCCAATTCTCCAGGGAGGTCTTTGGCCCCGCCCCCTTTGCGCCCCTGATCCACACTTCGCCGTAGCCTGCATCTATGCGCACTCTGGCGAAGGATATTGCCCATAATTCTTTGCGGTACACACCAAAACGTCGGGAAAATGCATTTAAATATAAATTTTGAAATATATATGCAGTATGTGTGTGAATAAGTTTTGCTATGTTACTTGGAAAGAAGCATAAACGTTTGATGAAGAATTACGGACATTGTGTTTTAACAATTTAATAACTTATTAAAGCAAGCGTTTATATAACATTCAATTTAAACTTTACACTTAGTACAATAATCTTAGAATGTATAAAAACTGACCAGATAGTTAGTTACCCACATTTAACTTAAAATTATACAGCTATCTCTAATTAAAAACAACTAATATACATGTATTTTAACTTGTGTGAAGCAATTAATTTTGTTTCCCAAAGGGTCAGACAAAGTTACCTTTAATTTTTATAAAGTTTAGGTCTGAAAATGACCATCTCTTGACGAGTCGATGACGTATCCTGCACTCACTGTGCACTGTCCCAATTCCGCCTTTTTTGCACACTTGTAACCTGCGCACTCCAACCCTGGTGTGCACTTCGAACAAATGCACACTTCGTAGAAGTGTGTAGGGTGCAGTGTGGGTATTGGGACTGGGCCTATCTGTGTGTATGTGTTTGTGATTTACTACTCCAGCATAAAAACATGAAAGGAAAAAACTCTTAATTCAGTGAATCCCTCAAGAGTCACTATTTGACTCTTTGAGCTGAGCGCTGATTGGCTGAGTGGGAGATTTCTTTCACCTGTTCTCTCCACTATAAAAAACAGCTCAAACCCCGCTTCTGTTGGCACGTCCTCCTACTGCTCCTGGTAAGATCTGGAAAATGTTCTTTGGATTTTTAGTAATGCTGGCAGCAGAAGCGCTTTTCAATATTGTTGGAGAAATAAGGATAATTTGAGTCCTGTATTGAGCTATGGATTGAGTGTTTGATGTATTTATTATTATAATTATTAATTTATATGGTTGGCAACGACTAAATGTTTGATATTGATGCAATTGTATTTGGGTAAACTTGGAATTCTTGTCCCGGTATCTTCAAAGTCGAGCTTTGGCCGCATGCCCTGGTGTGTAACTCACTCAGCCTTGGAAGATTAGGTTACGTTAAAGCTGGGGTTTGTAACTTTTAAACCACAAGAGTAATGTGTGATTAAAATCAATGTCTCCAGTTCCTGGCTTTAAATGGTTGCTTACATCACTGTGCTCTCTCTCTCGCGGTCTCTCTCTCGCTCTCCCTCTTTCTCCTTGACCCTTTCTCTTGTCTCTGTCTGTCTGTGTCTGTCTCTCTTACGGTCTCTTTCATTCTCATTTCTGGCCTGTGTTACATCTCTAGATCTGCTTATTCAGACACAAACAAACTCTGCCTATAAGCTCTCAGCCCACCGAGTCAAATAGTGGTGACTCGCAGGGCTTTATTATTTTCAAATGTGTTTATAACTCAACTGAACACTTTTTTTCTGATGTGTTGTGGTTTGATTAGTTGTTTCAGAATTTTGTCATCCTTTTATTCACTTTAAATTAATCTCATATTCCTTTTACTTGATTTGATCCACAACTCTAATTTTGGCTAAACATGTTTAGGTGAAAGCAGTAAAGTGACATTATAAAGGGCAGTAAGGGGACTTCTAGAGGGCGGGGGGACAGGTTATGAGTGTTCAAGAGTCCAACAGCAGAGAAGAAACTGTCCTTATGGCTGGAGGTTTTGGTCCTGATGGACCGTAGCCTCCTACCTGAGGCTGAGGGGAGAGGTTGGAACAGTCCATGTGCAGGTGAGAGGCTGTGATACGACCAGCCCGGCCTCGAGCGCGGGCATGGTAGAGGTCCTGCAGGAAGTACATCCTCTGCTGGGCCTTCTTGATGAGGGAGCTGATGGTCGGCTCCCACTTGAGGTCCTGGGTGATGGTGGTGCCCAGGAAACGAAATGACTCCAGAGGTGATGGAGTCAATCAGGGAGGGCGGGAGGGGACTGTGCTCTTCCTGAAGTCCACAATCATCTCCACTATCTTGAAATGAAATGAAACCTTTATATTCTGCTTTTCTTTGCAGCAGTTGCGATTTAAATCTATACAGATATAATCTATAATCTATAAGGATTTTAAGAAATATGACAACCGTAGTTCACTAAAGCCATGATGTCAGTCAGATTGTGACTAATATGTTCCAGACTCAGATTTTTGTAACATGTCTCTCGTTCACAGGTGTTAAACGCTGAATCTCAGTCTCTATGGCGTCACTGGTCCTCGGTCTGCTCCTGGTCCTGGTACTGGACTTGGCCTGGGGTACGAAGCCGAACTTTGTCTTTCTGATGGTGGACGACCTGGGCATTGGAGACCTGGGCTGCTTCGGCAACAAGACCCTCAGGTGAAGCGGTCCTCAGTTTCAGGAGAAAATCCAGACTTCTTAATTGTTTATAAAACAAGAATTTAACTTTTATTTGAGACTTCTCTTAACACAATCGAGACCCTCTACAAACTTAAATCAAGAATCCCTGTGTTTATTACTGTAATTTCTTGTGCAGCAAGACTGTCTTGGCCTGGGTCTGGTTCTGGTGTGGTCACATGACACATGAGTCAGTCCTGGGTCCTGCCAGTCTTGGTTCGGTCTCTTCTCTTCATGGCTGGGACTCTGTTCTTACTCTGGTCCTGGTCTTGGTCCTAGTTCTGGGGTGTGTTCTAAAAGTTCTCTCAGGACTCAACACATAGGCCGCCACATCCGGGTCTCTGACCTTAGTCTTGTCTTGGTCTTTGTGTCTGTCTGGACTCCACAGACGACTTTACCTCCCCTCTGCCTCTCCCTCAGGACCCCTCACATCGACAGCCTGGCCTCAGACGGCGCTCGGCTGACCCACCACATCGCCGCTGCGCCCCTGTGTTCCCCGAGTAGAGCAGCCTTCCTCACGGGTCGACTCCCCGTACGCTCCGGTACTTTCACCACCTTTTGGGTTTGTGTGTGAGAACTCGAAGATGCCATGTTAGAGCTAGGGGTTAGGAACTGGTGACCAGCAGTACCTCTCAAAGTGCTCATTCGGTGCCTTGCAAAAGTACTCCTACACCTTGAACTTTGGACATTTTGTCATGTTTACAACCATAGGTTTTACTTGTGTTGCTGAAGTAAGACTACTGTGAAGTGATGAAATGTTTGTGTGACCTTTCAGTATCAAATCTGTTGGTTGTAAACATAACAAAGTATAAGCTGTTTTAATATTGACACTGTCTGGTTTGTCCTCAGGCACCGCTGGGTCCGGTCAGTCCATGGTGTTCCTCTTCAACGCTGCGTCTGGAGGACTGCCGCCGTCAGAGGTCACGTTTGCGTCAGTCCTACAGCAGCAGGGCTACAACACGGCACTCGTCGGTAACATTCAATATGAGCGACACCAGAAGTAGTGGTTCTGGTCTAGAACCTGTCCCATATGTCACAAAATGTTTCTTGGTTTATTTTTGAAAGTTTGGACTTCTTCCCTTGATCTTCTGTACGTGAGCCTCATTTTAACAAACACTACACCAAAGCCTTCAAACGGTCTACCTGAAGGGTCTGATTTGCTCCTGGAAACAGTTTGATCAATCAATCAAATTTTATTTATAAAACGCTTTTCACACAAAAGATGCAACACAAAGTGCTTTACAGTTTGGTTAAAAACAATCCCGCCGGCCCAAGACCCCTCCCCCAGACCACCCAACAGACAAACACACACACGCTCTCATGAACACTCATGCACACACACACCAGTAAAACAATAAAACCATGATGAGAGACTTGGCAGGGTTCAGATGCAACCAGCTGAAAAAAGCGGCATCCAAGGAGCCGTCTGCACCAGGAGCAGAGAGCCGCCCGTAGCCACAGGGGACAACACAGGACCCAGAGGAGACACAAAACAGAGGCCCCAGGCCCCCCACCAGGCCCAACAGTCCGACCCCCGCAGCCACACCGACCACTGCTCCCAGTGCAGAGGGCTCCTCCAGAGGAAACACTGGGTACACTAAAAACAATACAATAAGTAAAACACTAAACTGTGAGGCTAGCAATAGCAATATAATAAATAATAAATAATAAAAGATAAATAGAATGGAATAAATACTAATCAAAAGCTAATCTAAAAAGGTGTGTCTTGAGCCTACTTTTAAAAATATGAATGTTCTCTGCGGCCCTGAGCTCCTCCGGCAGACTGCTCCAGAGACGGGCCGTAGTGCTGGAAAGATGCCTCGCCGTGAGTGTGTGTCCTGACTTTGGGGATGGTTAGGAGTCTGCTGCCGGAGGAGCGCAGGGGCCGGGAAGGTTCATAGGATAAAAGCAATTCTGAAAGATAAGGCCCAAGACCATTAAGACATGTAAAAACCATTAAAAGAACCTTAAAATCGATCCTGAAACACACGGGGAGCCAATGCAGTGATTTTAAAACCGGCGTAATGTGGTCCCGCCCCCTGGTCTTAGTCAGGACACGTGCGGCCGAGTTTTGGAGTAATGGAAGACTTGCAATATTCTATTTGGGAATACCAGGGAGTAGGGCATTACAATAGTCAATGCGACTGGTGACAAAAGCATCAGCGTCTCCGTGTTGCCCCGAGAGAGAATGGGGCGGACTCTGGTGGTGATCTTTAGATGATAAAAACCTATTATTGTGATACTCTTGATGTGAGGTCAGCTCAGAGTCAAAGATTACGCCCAGGTTTCTCACTTGTGATGGATTAAAAGAGTGTGATTGGAGTTTTGATAAAAGTTTCTCTCTGGGCCTCAGGACCGATGACTAAAACCTCAGTTTTGTCCTGGTTAAGCTGGAGAAAGTTTTCTGCCATCCAGGATTTCAGGTCTAATATGCAGTTAAGAGCATCCATTGGCCTGGTGTCATCAGGAGACATGGAGATGTACAGCTGTGTATCAGCTGCATAACTGTGGAAGTGAATTCCATGTCTCCTGATGACACCGCCAAGAGGGAGCATGTACAGGTTAAAAAGGACTGGACCTAAAATGGAACCCTGGGGCACACAGCATAGCCTAGCATGAGTCTGTACTTTTTATGGAGCCTCACTGAGATGGGACCATGAATGGCATCTGTCTCTCACTCAACATGAGGCCAGTCGAACCCAGGACTTTGTGGAGGCGAGTCACCTCAGCACGGGAGGCCTCAAAGGCTGGTGGTTCAGGCGGGATAAAAGAATGGTGTAGTCTGTCAAAAGCGGCGCTTGATTGATGCAGCTGATCCAGATAAATGTCTCAACTGAAATTTTATTCTCAGTCTTATAGTTTACAACTTGAAGGAAGATATTGCGTCACGAACAGATCAGGGAATCAAATCTGTTCAAACACTGGAAATGTGTTGGGAAGTGTTAATACATCGGAATCACCAGTTGACTCGTGCATTAAGGTATCGTTATGGGGCGACACTGGCTCTGAGCATGAAGGTTTGAGCCCACAAGACTTTCTCCGACTCCTGCTGTTGTGTCCTTGGCAAGAGACTTAATCTCTGGGAACACCTGATGCCACAGTGGGGCGGCTGTAAAGTGCCAAACTGCCGTTGTGCCCTTAGGCAAGACACTTCACTCACACTGCCTAGAATGAGTCTGTTGTGTGTGTGAATGGTTGGTGGTGGTCGGAGGGGCCGACGGCACATACTGGTTGCCTCGCTTCTGTCAGTGTGTGCCCCAGGGCAGCTGTGGCTACAGTAGTAGTTTATCACCACTGTGCATGGAGTGAATGAATATTGACATGTAAAGAGTCTTTGAGTGTCCAAAAAAGTGCTATTTAAAACAGATTTATTATTTTATTTATATGGCCCAATAAAAAAACCGTTATGACTGTCACAAAGTGCTTTCCAGACATTACAAGATGCAACACAACACACCAATACAGCGCAAAATAAACTACTGGTCCACTGTAATAAAAGTTACATTTGTTTTTTTTTGTTAAAGCCAGAGCAAAAATTTCTTTCAGAGCAGAACCACTCAAACTCTGTGGTGAAAAAATGTGAGAAACTGTGGAGGCCCAGATTTAGCAGCATCCACTCCCATGAACAAACTGAGGCTGTGGCTCGCTTCTTGGCCCCTTAAATGTTTGTTTATTGAAGGGATCCTCATTAGTGGCAGAGCTGTTACTGGTCTGGGGTCCAAAACTAATAAAGTAAATAAAAATAAAATGCATTACACTATATTCAGATGATAATTGAATCATAAGCAACACCGGATACAATATCTATTGGGAAATTTGACCATGAATCAACATGAAAACCTATTAAATAGAAACTAATTCAGATTGGAACAGTTTTTTTACTTCCATTGCAGGCAATGCTCTGTATGTGAAAGGTCTCTTCCTTTCACATACAGAGCATTGCTTGTGTCTCTGATGGTGGTAGAGTTCCCGGCAGAAACATTTCATGACCTTACTGAACTATTGGGGCTTACTTTAGGCAAAGGAAATTTTGGCGGTGGATTGTCTAGTTTTATGATGGTGCTTATCGAAGCTGAATGAGAAATGTCCTCTTCTGTGCAGGAAAGTGGCACCTGGGCTTGAACTGCATCTCTGCCTCAGACCGCTGCCATCACCCAAACTCTCACGGCTTCCACTACTTCTTCGGGATCCCGCTCACCAACCTGCGAGACTGCCATCCCGGCCACGGCACGGTCTTCAGATTCCACAAGTTTGTGCAACTAAAGACCTGGGCGCCAATCCTGCTCATCGCGTCCCTTGCCTTCTACTTCCGGCTGATCCCGTTCCCGCGCCTGATCCTGGTGCTAACGGCTGGTCCGCTGGTCTTTGGAGCGCTGGTCCTCTACGGCTGCTCCTTCCTGGTCCCATACATGAACTGTATTCTGATGAGGAACGCAGAGATCATGGAGCAGCCGTTCTCCACAGTGAACCTTACCCAGAGGATGACGAGCGAGGCGGTGGGCTTCATGGAGAGGTGTGAAGATTGTCAGATTCAGTTTATTTGCCATTTGCAGTAATATCACGTTGGAACACCTGTGCAAAGGTTTCCCATTGTGCACCAGACAAGTACATGTATGCAGGCCTTGTATCTATTTTTACTTGGCTGACCATCTGGAGGAGTTGAGAGACTAGTTGGTCCATCCTCCTTTAAACCTGTGTCTGTTCTGGTTCTCAGGAGCCGAGGGGGCCCCTTCCTCCTCTTCGTCACGTACCTGCAGGTCCACACCGCGCTGTTTGCTCACGACCACTTTAGAGGCTCCAGTCCTCACGGCATCTACGGCGACGCGGTGCACGAGGTCGACTGGAGCGTCGGTCAGTCCACTTCGACATTATTTCACGGTTCCAAATGAATTGACAAGGGGTCCAGAACAGCCTTGAGGGACCCCTGTCAGTGTAATTATTTATTAATTATTAATTAATTGTTGCAAGACTTTCTCAGTCTGTAATGGTAGAAAAGTGAGTGATGTCATATTGGTACAATATTTCATTCACTTTTCTGACTTTTAAAACAAACATAATGCACTTGACCTCGTGTTGCTGATTTTTGTTTGTTTATGGATTTGACATTTTTGACAATTTTAAAAACAATTTCAGGAACTTTGCAAATATGGTCTAAAGGGAATGGGCAGATGCTAAAGCTTAGACTCAAACATTTATAGCTGCTTGTGTCTCTCTGATGGTGGTAGAGTTCCAGGCAGAAACATTTCATGACCTTACTGAACATATTTCACATTCATAAACAAGAAATGACAAAGCAAATGGTCCATATTGTAACTTTAGACACTTAGAAGCAGGCTGGTTTAAAAAACTGTTTAGTCTTGAGCCTGTAGACCTGGCCCTGTCCCAGGCTCTTTAACACTTAATTCTCCGCCGCTTTCCCCAAATGCACATGGTTTATTGACCCTGAAACACGGCTCTAAACGCAGCAGTAGTTGGCTGCAGGTGGTTGTAAACACGGCAACCTCTGACCCCCGCTCCGGCGAGGCGCTCTGCAGAAGGATCGATGCAGTTACTTAAATTAATTCAGCTGTGGTTTAAGTGAGTGTTCCCTTTGGACTCAAACTGCTCCTAAAAGCAGAAACTAAAGTGTAATGTTTCTGCTCTAGAGGAATTAATATGTGAAGTTAGTCTATGATGTGGAACAAGAGAAATAATCTTGGAAATGATCCAAACCGGATTTTATCACAATGTTCAGATCATTGTGGTGGACCAAAGTCAAGGATCAAAAGAATTTCTGGTCTCTATGGGTTAGCAGAGACTGACCAAAGTAGTTGCTAAGATCATTAACAGTTTATCCAGTCACTCACTAAAGTTTGGACACCCATTGATGAGATGAAATCAGCTTTTCTGTTTATCGTCAGTTCTCCAAAGGCTCACTAGTTCTAAAGGATCCTCTTTTGCGCTTTGTCAGAATATCTAATCTGTAGAACTGAAGTTTTAATTGTGTCTTAAGGACAAGTCGTTGTCTTGCTCAAGCAGAGGTGTGCGAGTGGAATCATAGCCTCTGCTTCATCCCATCTGTGATTATTGAAATTGAGGGTGACTATACCTGCTTTTGCTGATCCCAGGTCAGATCCTGCGCTCCCTGGATCAGCTGGGTCTCCGTGATGACACCGTGGTCTATCTGACCTCAGACCAGGGCGCTCATCTGGAGGAAGTGACCTTCACCGGAGAGCGCCACGGGGGCTCCAACGGGATCTACAGGGGTAAGAGGCGGGGGCCACAGGGGAACTTGGGGTGGCAATTGACATCCCAGACAATGTCTTTGCCACTCTGCTAAAGGTATCACACGTTTGGAATTTTATGTTGCTGGAAAGTGTCTAATTTCCAAACGCAAGTGAGTACATTTTTGCGGCGCGCTGCTTCTCACTGGTTAAGCGGACGCTGTCTCACACGTGCTCCGCCAAACACAGCGAGGCGGCGGCTCATTGAGGAGCGTAATGTGCTGGTGCTTAGAATTGGCTTAATTCAAGAACTCAGACTAATTGTAATGATCCAAATGTAAAGGGGAGGGTCTCTGCATATGGTTTTACGTAACTGGATTGTTGTTGGCTTCACAAGTTAGTTTCCTTAAAAGGCCAAATTTAAGAGTTAATTTGCAAAAGCGGAAACCTCAGTTTTGAATTCTTTGCCGAATCGTTCTACTTTTTTGTTGTCACCTGTAGACTAAGGTGAGAAAAATGTAGAATTTGATCAACAAGTAACTTGATGTCTGATCATTTAAAAAGGGAAAATCTTCTGAGCAGTTGTTATGAATAGAGTAGAATGTACAGTTTCTAGTGTACAATTCATCAGCGGTTCGCACTGTTTCTTTGTGTCGAATAGAGCTTAATGTGGTTACATTTAGTTGTGTAGAAAGTATTTTGGTATACTTGCATACATTTAAGACTTTACCAAGCTTAGTTACAGCATAATGAAAAGGCGATATACAGTATCAACGTGTTTTTCAAGAGACAAACTGGTCAGATCATGTATATTGACACATAAAAATAAATCCTTGCCACCCCTAAAGTCTAGCTCAGCTACTGGTAAGAGGGGGTCCCACTACTATCTCCATGGGTAAGATGGGGACCCAACGGGATCTAGATGAGCACAGAAGTGGGTTTAGAGCATTTTACTTAAGGCTGTCCAGTCCTAGAATGGATCCAGTGGCTACAATGTGGGCTGGATCAGTCAGTGTTCGCCTTGGTCAGCTTCTCCAGTGCATGTCAACCCTCAGTCACTTCTGTTCACCACACTGTCATGTCCAGTTTATGGACCAGAAAATCTATAGTTTGTAGGTTTGGTATCCTCAATTAAGAAGTCACCAAGGACTAGGACAAAAGGGACTGATTTCAGCAGCTCACTTTGGGCTAGAGTAATCTCCTTGTCCTCTGCCTTTCTACAGAGCTCCCTTAGACTGAGAACTTTAAATCAGCTTAAAGATGCTATACCAGATTTATTTTATTTGAGTTGATAAAAAAGCTTGTATTATAATCCGTAATTTAATTGAAAACTTCAGCTCATTGATTCAGCTTGTGTATGAATTCAGTCCGTAAAAAAAGTGCTGAGTAGAGACTTGGCGTGACGCTTGCTCGCTCTCCTCCACACACAGAATGAGGAGCAGCGCTGTTACAAGCAGATGGCGTACACCGCTGCTAAACATTGTAGCAGGTTAGCAGAATTGGCTATAACTCCTCTTGCTGTAACGGCATACACAGCCAAACTACACAACAGTGAGGAAAAGATGGAACTAAGGGAAAAAATGATCAAAGAAGAAATCAAGCCCGGGTGAACAGGGCTAGCTTACATCGTATCCTCTGTAGAGACTTGTCTATGGGAGAGACCTGCAGGACCGCCTCGGACTATCTATACTCTGATTACATTTGGACGCTGAACTAGCGGTAATCTTTCAGTTTTATATTTTGTTAGCAGTGCGTTGCTTTTGTACCATTTCATCAGTATTGTTGTACAGCTTACAAGAAGTTGCGTTCATGCTGATGTTTGCATATAGATCGCAAATGCAACTAGATGGCTCTGAGGGATGAGAGCATAGGGGAAATGAGAAGTCTGTGAGAGTTGAGGGGTGGTGCTAAACATTCAAACCTTGCAGAAACTGGTATAGCTTTACGTTTTACTGTTATTTTTTTAAAGCGTGACTTAATTGCGTTCTTAGTGTGCAGAACTTACAGATCCTTTTCTAGAGCAATTATTTTTAAGCCTGTGTGGGCTCTGTTGCAGCTGGGAAGTCGACAAACTTTGAGGGTGGGATTCGGGTGCCAGGTCTGGTCCGCTGGCCTGGTACAGTCTCCCCTGGGCTTGTGATTGACGCTCCAACCAGCCTGATGGACCTGTTCCCTACAGTGCTGCAGCTGAGCGGAGGCCGGCTGCCACATGACCGGTGAGAGTAACAAAGACCACCACTACTCATTAGAAAACATGTTCTTTGCAGTGGTGGACCCTCGAGGCCTGCAAGGCCTTCACTGCTGGCCTAAACATAATAGATAAATTAATTTCCAATGTTTATTTTCCCACAAACTACGTTGGTTGCACTTTCAACTTGACTGTCTAAGCCTTTCTGGTGAGAGAATGTTTGGCCCCAGATCCTGACTCTAACGTGTGGTTTCTCCTGTTGCAGAGTGATCGATGGGCGCTCTCTGTTGGACCTGCTCACGGCTAAATCTCAGCGCTCAGAACACGAGTTCATGTTTCACTACTGCACCGACGTCATCCAGGCAGTGCGCTGGATCCCCACCGACAGTGAGTGAGGGAGGCTAACTAGGACACTACCCTATGATTTCAGATTCCTGAATGAACTATAAAATAGTTTTCTTCAGTTTCATCATTTCATTTTTTCCACGTAATCTGTTGCCTGGTCACAGGTACAGCAGTCTAAACAGACGCCCAGACTTCCCTATCCACGCACACTTCCTCCAGCTCGTCCGGGGGGACCCCAAGGCGTTCCCAGGCTAGCTGAGAAGGCGTCCCCCCCCCAAAGGACACCCCGACGAACACTGTCGAACGCCTTCTCCAGATCCACAAAGCACATGTGGACAGGTTGGGCGAAATCCCATGAACCCTCGAGTATCCGGTGGAGAGTATAGAGCTGGTCCAGTGTTCCGCGGCCGGGACAGATTCAACCATCGGCCGTAGCCTCCTCTCCAGTACCTTTTGAGTAGACCTTACTGGGGAAGCTGAGGTGTGTGATCCCACGATAATTGGAACACACTGCTCACCACGGTGTGGTCACCACCCCGATCTGCTACTCCATTGGCACCGCCCCAGAGCGCCACGCGATGTTGCAGAGACGTGTCAGCCAAGACAGTCCTACAACATCCAGAGACTTTAGATAGTCAGGACGGCTCTCATTCACTCTCGGCGCCTTGCCAACAAGGAGGCTGCTAACCACCTTGGCGACCTCAGGCAGGGAGATGGAAGTATCCGTCCCAACATCCCCGGCCTCTGCCTCCGGAACGGAGGACGTGACGGGGGGATTGAGGAGAACCTCTAAGTATTCCTTCCACGGCCTGACAATATTCCCAGTCAAGGTCAGCGGCTCTCCACCCACGCCGTACAGTTTGCCAGAATCTCTTCGAGGCAGACAGATAGTCATGCTCCATGGACTCTCCAAACTCCTCCCAGTCCCGGGTTTTTGCCTCTGCAACAGCCCGGGCAGCGGCACGCTTGGCCTGCTGATACTGGACAGCTGCCTCAGGAGTCCCATGAACCATCAAGGCTCGATAAGACTCCTTCTTCAGGCCGACGGCATCCCTTACTGCCGGTGTCCACCACCGGGTTCGGGGGTTGCCGCCGGGACCAACCTCAGAGGCCCTGCGACCACAGCTACGAGCTGCCGCATCGGCGATGGTGTCTGAGTGGACCATGTTCTCTTCCTCCATGTCCCCCTCCTCTGCCGGGACCTGGGAGAAGCTCTCCCAGAGGAGTGAGTTGAAGTCCGCTTGACGGGGGGCTCAGCGAGACGTTCCCAGCAGACCCTCACTACACGCTTGGGCTGCCAGCGGATCCAACTCATGACCAGGTGTTGAACGGTTGACAGCTCTGCCCCGCTCTTCACCAGTGTCCGAGACATGCAGTCGAAGGTCACATGATGTGATGACAAAAGTCGATCAGACCCCTGACCTAAGGTGTCCCGGTGCCCTGGTGCCACATGCACTGGTGGACATCCTTGTGCTCCAACATCGTGTTTGTGATGGACAAACTGTGGCTAGCACAGAAGTCCAAAAATTGAACACCGCTCTGGTTCAGATCAGGGGGCCGTTCTTCCCAATCACCTCAAGTGTCACTGGCAATTCCCAGTGACACTTGGAATAAGGAAAACGTGGAAGAGTTTGGTAGCTTCTAACGGGAGCTGATTTGGAACTATACAGTATGCTGCATTTGGGCTCTGTTTGCATGACAGAGCGCACGGACAAAGACCAGACGGGTACATATCAACTAGTCTAATGGTGCTTTCAGACCGGAAACGCTGAAGCCCCGCTCACCAGACGCGAATTCTCTAGTTTTCAGATGCAGAGGACTTCACACCAGAACGTCTTGACGCAAGCCGGAAGTAGCCGGCCGGCTCTAATGCTAACAGAGCTATGCTAGCGGCTTCTTGTGTACAGATCTTCTCCAATATGCAGCTTTGCAGCGTGTCTTTGCTCAGACATTCCACGGGCTTTATATAACCGTAGGTGTTCACGGAGGTGCGCCATACGTGTTTTCATATTATTCAATGGCATTTCCACATCGGCGAACGCACTCGAAGCAGTTGCATAAGGTCACAGGAGCATGTCTACGCATATTTCCCATTGTCAACCCTGGTTTGAGTTCTGGTGAAGCCTGGTGTGGCTCCTGTTTACGAGTATTTTCAGTCTGCTCGCTCAGTCCGCTAATGTCCCCGTGACCACTTTGCGGCTCTGATTGGTGGTCGCACGAACGTCCCAAGGAAAGGATGAGCAGAATCCATCTCCTGTGGGCGTTGATTTTTCGCTCCTGCTCCTCCCCTTTGACTTTCCTGCCAACGCGCGTCACCATAGACTTTGCATTGAAACCCGACGCAACGCATGATCCGGTCTGAAAGCACCAGGACCAAATTCAAATGTAGTGGCACCAAAAATGTAGAGAGGGCGCCACAGACTGTTTTGGGCTCAAAAGTGAGATTATATCTAATTTGCACTAACATGACCAGGACATGTAGGGAGCACTATAGGAAAATATTTATGCAGTTTATGAGTTAAAAAAAACTTGATTTGGTGTTTAGTTGTCCTTTTTAAAGCTGAGACTAAACCAGTGGTCTCAAACCGGTTCCAGAAAGTGCCATGTGGCTGCAGGTTTGGAAGTAAAACCTGCAGCCACATGGCACTTCCTGGAACCGGTTTGAGACCCCTGCTCTAAACTGTGTCATAAAGTGAAACTTTCCTCTTCAGGCTCGTCTGTTTGGAAGCTCTTCTACTTCACACCCATCTTCGACAATGAGCACTCGTCCACCTGCTTCCACTCTCACGTCTGCTTCTGCCACGAGGCCGCGGTCAAACGCCACAATCCACCTCTGCTCTTCGACCTGAGCCGAGACCCCACAGAGTCACAGTCCCTGACCCCGGACTCGGAGCCAGAGTTCTGGTCAATTGTCGACCGCATGACGAGTGCCGTGTGGCATCACCAGGCCACGCTGGAGGCCACGCCCAACCAGATGGCCATGGAGAACATGATCCCCAGGCTCTCGCTCCAGCCATGCTGCTCCACCTTCACAGAGCTCTGCCGCTGCAAGAGGAACGCCAGCAAAGTCCAGGCCACGGAGTCAAACTGGGAGCTTTGAAGAGGTTGGGGCCCTTTGTTCTTGGTTTGAGGCTATTTAGGATGCACTAAAAGGGCTGCCATCTCCAACTGGCAACATTTCCACATCAAGGCTCAGGAGAGTACGTTAGACATTTAGGGAACGCAAAGATTTAATGAATATCTGCATTTAATCCACCTCTAAAGAAAATGTTCTTGACCAGGGGTGTCAACTCTGCAGCCACACTGGCCCTTTGAAACCTGGTTTGAGTTCAAACCGAAGTTGAGCCTTTGACGTAACCTTTGTATGTAAAAATGGCTCATCCAGAACTTTTTTTTTTTCTAATGTAAAAAATGGGTTGGTTGGTTTTGGTAGTGATTTTAGACTTGGTATTTTTATTTTTTTATATAGATTGTGCCTAATTTTACCTCAGCTAATGATTTTACTAGTTTAGCCTTGTAATGTTGGGGAATTGATTTAGTTGTTTAGCTTTAATACTTGGCTCATTATTTTAAAACCTCAAGAGGCCACACTTTAAGACCTGGTTTGGAGCGTTTCAAATCATAGGATTTTTTTTGGATCTCATTTTAGTTGCCTCACACTTGAACTGCTCTAGTTTCTACCACCACCTTGTTGACGTTACTGCTGAGACATCAGTTGTTTTCTCGCTTTGGATTGCGAAGCGACGGAAAGAACAACGATTGGTCGTCATTTGAGTTTCTTGAAATTCGTCGCGCAAGAATCTAAATTGGGACTGAATCTGAAAGAAGTTTGAAAAGATTGTAGTTTAGATCTAGTTAAGGCTTGGCTTTTTGAATTGGAAAGTCCTTGTTCAGTCCTATACTTTTAGACCTGGTTTTAGCTCTAGGTGACTCAACTTTTGAGAAAGTAAGGCAGAGACGGGAGGAAAAAGGGTTAGTCTTGACTTTCTCTCTTAACGGAAGTGTCTCAATCCGGTTTCTTAATCTTTAGCTTGTTGAAAATGCTATAGTTGTACGTAGACTCTTAAACAAACCAGATAATTCTTCAATGTTAAATTTCTCAGTAACTTCATGTCCAAACTGAGACGTGGGAGAAACTGGAAACCCATTCACATGCATTTCTTAGCTACTTTTTAACAGCCGTGCATTCAAAGACCAGATAAGTCTTGGAACTGATTCGTGATCCAACTTAGTCCTGTTTTCTTCTCAGTTTAAAGCGGCCTCACATTTGCAGCGCTAAACCAGTAGGTGAAAAAACTAGTTCAGTAAAGTCAAATAAACTTGAGCTCATGCCCTAGACTCACTAGATTATACTCATTCTTAAAATCTGCGATAGAGACTAAAGTAATCACTTCTGTATAAGTTTTAGTAGCTCCTAACTAGAAGTAAACTAGCACTTGGTGTAACACTCGGGTTTTTAGCGTTGGGAAAATTGGAATGTAGAAAAGTTTCTGATGTTCTTGAAATCAAACTCATTCCTGGTGAAGGTTTTTTGTTTTTTGGTGCCGGTAATATGTCCTTGGGTTTTACTTGTTTCTCATTGCTGTGAGTTTAGTTTGATTTTCTGGCCTGGGACTTGACGCTCAACGACATGTGACTTTTGAACCAGTTTTACAGAACGCCTCTTGTTCACGATGCAACCATGGGACTGTATTCTGATGCCGATCTCAATTTTTTTATGTGTAATCAATTGAAGCAAAGTTGAAATAAAATGTTTATGCTTCCAAATCTGTTTCTCATTTAAATTCTACCTCTTTCAAAGTGAAGGTTTGGTTTTGTCATTTGCTAAAGATTAAATGTCACCCAAGTTTTAGCAATGACCGCTAACGGCTGAACTGTTTGTTTTGTCCGTTTCTGTGACTCGGACCTGTGAAAGGCGTTATATAAATCAACATTTTTCTTGTCTCATGGCTTTAATTTTGGGTTTCGCCGCACCATAAGATGAATGATGCTAGCTGAAGGTGCCCATGGACATACAAGACCACTGATAATTGGTTGGCACTAGATCATGTACGCAATCGGGACGAAACCGGAAGTGACAATCCTACTTTCAAATTTAGTCTAAAACTAAGTCCTTAAGTGGCGGCTGGTTAAGTTTAGGCATGAATAGAATAGTTATACGGAATCGGGACTGAAGCAGAAGTAAATATAAGCAAGATGTGAAGCAAAGGGACCAGGGCGACCGATCCGTGTAAAGCGAAGAATGAATGGGGCTATGTATCGTGGGATGAAAAACCTTCCATCAGCAAGGGCATTGAAGATTGACGAAATGTGACAGGATCTTTCAGCACCACAATGATCTCAAACACATGACAACGCAGTGGCGTCATAAGTATTTCAGTGTCGTGGAGTGGCCTAGTCAGTCTCTAGAAAGAAAATTATTTTTCTCAATTCTGCTTTACCTGGTTGTTTCCATTAAGCTTTAATGCCATAGTATCTGGTACTGTATCCTGGCAACCTCCCCACCACCCATTATCCAGGGAAATTCCCTGGTATCCTTGGCTTCCAGCAACTTTCTGGGCAATCACTGTCAATTACAACAGTTTAGTACCAGCTCTGCCTGGATAGAACCAGGACCAATAGGGTCTAAAGAAGGACCTGGTACCGATTAAAAAGGACCAGAGGATGTTCAGACATTGCACATGTTAAATTTCATGTTGCCGTGGTGACAAGCTTAAAGCCACTTTTGGAATCATATTTTTGGACTCAAGGCTGTGGCTCCTGCATGCTGTCACATCACAGATAAGAATTTAAACCTTTAAAAAAACTCAATTTCACGGCAACTTTTCATCAGATCTTGATGTGAACCGACTGTGGAATAAATTAGACTGAAGCAGTCAGTCCAAACCAGTATTTGAGGCTGGCCTGGACCAGGTCTAAAAAGCAGGACTGAGGCTGGTCTTTATTCAGGGACTGCACCAGGTCTAAACTGGTTCTGAAGTAAGTCACACAAGGCGATCTAGTGAAAAGACCATATTAAAACAAGAGATGCTCTCGATACATTTTTCTGAAGCAGAGACTAAAGTACATTCGCTCTACCAGGTCTGAAGCAGGATGAAACCAGTGCTGCACCAGAGAAAAAGCCAGGACAGAACGAGGCCAAAACTAGTGCAAAATGACAACAAAAGCAGACTGCAATGTACAGCTTCCACCACCAGAGAGAGTGCTGCTCTGTTGATACATTTCCAAATGTCAAAAACGCAGAATCTCAGCTCTGTTTATAGATCCATGGATAAAACGGTCTACAGAGAGTGAGGTCTGAGGTCTTTGTATTCCTCCACACTACACTCTTTCTCTGGTCTCTCACAGGCCCCTGGTTTCTCAAGTCTCTGGTCTCTCACTGGCCCTGGTCTCTCTATACTTTATATATCCATATGTTTCACAAACGAACACATAATCTCAGCTCTGATATTTTCTCACAAAGTCTACAGTGTGTCAGGTCTGTGTCAGTGATTAGAGCCGGTTCGTCCCAGGGGCCTCTTTGAAGTCCTCCTCTCTTCCCTCTGGTTTCTCCCCTCTCTTCTCCCTGGTCTCTCTCTCTCTCATCTCTTCCCTCTGTTCTCTCCCTCTCCTCTCTTCCCTTTCTCTACACTGGGATTCCAATTTGATTTCCTGCAGCGAAGAAACGTGAGCATTTTTCTGAATCCTCTCCCCTTGAGGAAAATAAGAAAATATATAAATTTCTGAAGAAAGAGAGGGTTTGATGTGGAGCAGATGGACCAGAAACCATCTGAACACAAGGCATTCAGACTCCGGGTTTTACTAACGCAGAAGACAATAATAATAATGCATAGGGTTTATTTAGCACCTTCTACGGACATTTAATGACGCTTCGCTTCTCACATCCTTTCACTTCATACATGATGGTGTGCTCCTCATTCCTATTGTTTTATAACTTGTGATGCAACACTGAAATTTCCCCACTGTGGGATGAATAAAGGATCTCTTAATCTTAAACTACTAGTGTAGCCACAGCTGCCCTGGGGCACAGACAAAAGTGGGATAACCAGTCTGTGCCTTAGCCCCTTCCACCACCACCAACCCCGTTACACACACACCAGACTCATTCTAATGTGGGTGAAGTGTCTTGCCTAAGGACACAACAGTTTGGCACTTTACAGCTGCCCCACTGTGGCACCTGGTGTTCCCAGAGGTCTCCCATCTCAGCACTAACCAAGCTCTGTCTGGATCTAGCTTTCGCCTGCAGTTATGACCCCACATGTGATGGGCAGAGACTGATTACACACATGCACACACAATGAACAAACACATCAATTTATATATATATAATTGAATAATATATTTATTCCATAATCCTATTGTACAAGATTACAACAGACACAGGGAGAACATGCAAATATTACTCACAAAAGCCTGCCTGGGAGTCTCACTAAAAGATACAGACAGGAGCATGCGATTTATGAAGCTAAAGTTACACACCCCAGCTTTAAATAATAACATGATCAAACAGTATGTCCTGCCACTGTCAATGCCCAAAGTGCTTCACACAAAAGAACTCAAAACCATTTGTGAGCAGGATTGTGAAGAGAGCAGTCGAAGTGAGACCCACTGAGGAATCCTGTGGTCCATGGGTCCTCGGCTCTCTGGCTCTCCCTGGTCTCTGGTCTCTCTCTGGTCTATTTCTGATCTCTCTCTGGCTTCTCTCTGGTCACATGGTCCTCATGTATCTCTGGGCATCAGTAAATCCTTCCTCCTCAAAGATCCTCATCTGAGCCGCAGTCGGAGGGAACAGAGCACTGTTCAAACGTTTCATGTTTTCTACAGAAAACTGACGAAAAGAGAAAGTTTCAATGAGTGATGCAAGAAGAGGATCAAAGGGAATCAGAGACTGAACCAGGTCTAAAGCAGGTCTAAAGCAGGTCTAACGCAGGTCTAACGCAGGTCTAACGCAGGTCTAATGCAGGTCTAAAGCAGGTCTAAAGCAGGTCTAAAGCAGGTCTAACGCAGGTCTAACGCAGGTCTAACGCAGGTCTAATGCAGGTCTAAAGCAGGTCTAAAGCAGGTCTAAAGCAGGTCTAAAGCAGGTCTAAGGCGGGTTTAAAGCAGGGATAGGGCAGGTCTAAAGCAGGTCTAAGGCAGACCCAAAAAAAGGACGAAAACAGGTCTAAACAGGTCTAAAGCCGGGCAGTTCTAAAACAGGACTAAATCAGGTCTAAGACAGGACTAAATCAGGACTAAAGCTGGCCTCACCGTGACCTTCATGTTGGCCAGCTGCAAGTGTCTGGTAGAGCGCCCCCTGTGGACTGGACACACATTCTGCGGTCCAGAGAACGGCGACACTGTGACTGTGCGTCCGAACGGAAGAATCGGCAAAGAGTCTGTGAAGCCTCCGTCCACCCAGCGCTGAGAGAGACAGGCTTAAAGCTCAGGTACGTAACTTTCAGACCAGAGCAGTAGCTCTCACTGTATGTTTATAGACACTGTATATGTATGAATACATATAAACAGGGGTGCACAAAACTTCCTCTGTGAGGTATTCACACGAGCCCCAGGAGGTGGTCTTTGGCGCTCACCCCATTTGTGAGTTTAGATCGGTTCAGATGATCTACTCTCAGCCCAAAAAGTCAAACCATGACTCACAGGGCTCTCTCTTAAGTATGCAAAAAAACAATCAAAACAAGACCCCTGAT